TTTGATGCCACGGTGAAGAAATTCTTTAAAACTATAGGGTTTTTGCTCACATCGTTGTTCGGAGCTGTTCCTCCCATTCAAAAAAGCCTGAGAGCTAAAGGAACGATAGTGTGCGCTTTTTTCTCTCTGTCACTGACAGGCTCGTTAAGCGTTGTCAAGGTAACCGTGCTTCAAACAGATTTTACCTCTGCTGTTTTAAACAGCACATATTAATCTAATGGAGGGTGAAAGCACTGATTTAACATTGGGAAATGGATACTATATGACTGATGTCCATGACACTTCCCTTGCCACTCAACACTGATAGACTTTCAAAATAAGACTCCAGGGACCCTACAAAATAAAAGCCTCTATATTTTTTACATATATTTATTGCCCTATATGGCTCAACATTATGACCCAAACACAACCCCATTTTAGAGAATAGACTCTAGGAGACTGTTTAAAACACACCCTAAGGCAAATTTCAAAATAAAAGCCTCCCATTTCCGCTTCATCTACTGCCCTAATAACATGGAAAAAAGAGTGATTTAACGATTGGAAAGTCATCAACTATCATTGCTGGGTCTGAACATTTTCTCTAAACACAACTCTGTTGGACTTTCAAAATAAGACTCCAGGGACCCTACAAAATAAAAGCCTCTAGATTATACTAATGCAATAATTGATGCAAATGGCTCAACATTATGACCCAAACTCTTCCAGGTTGTTTTTATTAGACTCTAGTGACCTTTTCAAAACACACCCCAGAGCAAATTTCACAATAAAAGTCTCCCATTTACTCTGTAATACAGCAGCTATTCACCTAATAACATGGAAAACCAGTGATTTAACATTTGGAAATGGATTCTATATCACTGCTGGGCATGACCCATCTTTTGATGCACATCCATGATAGACTTTCAAAATAACACTACAGGGACTCTACAGAATAAAAGCCTCTTCCTTATACACACTCATACATTCTGGCATATTGCTCATAGCCATTTGTAATTTCATCACTGCAATGGCTCTGAGTATGCGGGCGGAGCCCGCCATTGGTGATTTCATCACTGCAATGGCTCTTAGAAGGCGGGCGAAGCCCGCCAATGGTGATTTCATCACTGCAATGGCTCTTAGCAGGCGGGCGGAGCCCGCCATTGGTGATTTTTTTCATCGCTGCAAGGGCTCCTAGCAGGCGGGCAGAGCCCGCCAACTGCGCTTTACCCACTGCGGTTCAATATGGACAAACCATATTACCCTTGTGCATCATACGCTGTGCACGTCTATTTCCCAGATTTCAGCACAAGTGGCACACAGCTCTCTTTGCCCATGACCTAGCCCTCTTTCCTTCCCTCAGCAGCCCTCAAAGGCGTAAGCAGTTGGTCTGGGGAGCCCCAATGTCACTTGCCAGGGCCGTATTGGCCCAGTTACCCAGACGGGCAGTAGGTGGCCCCCCTCAAAATTTCTTTAGAAATTTTCTAGTTAGTCTTTAGTATCTAACAGCAGTATACTGCAAAAAATAGAAATCTATATAAGTCATTTTGAAATGTCGAAAAAAAGCCCCAGAGTTAAAAATAATTTGGCAAGCCAATACACTTACAACAGCAGATATGTTCCCCGGAAATGTCATGAAGGAGCTAAATATAAGAAAAATAAGAAAATAATTAAAAAACAATATTTCAAAATTTGAGGTCCCAAACCAAACCATCTAAAACTATAGAGAAATGAATTTTATGGTTGTTATCGGAGGATATCACTGAGGACACTCTTTAACTCTTACTTTAGGTTGACCGTAATTATTTTATGTTACATTGTTCAACCTGCACATCAGCTTACTATGGATCTCACTGCTACTTACTAATGCAGAATAATGCTATTTGCTATACAATTGTCCAGGGAACTCTGATTGGCTGGACACTTCTAACAAAATATGTGTTTGCAGAACAAATAGATAGATAGATAGATAGATAGATAGATAGATAGATAGATAGATAGATAGATAGATAGATAGATCATTTCATCATCCTCAGTTGCATTATTAATCTCTATTTATCACAGTAATATTTCTTAAAATTATCATACTGATTTGCATTGTGTTTTAAGCATTCTTGTTGACTTGGGACTTGTTATTCCTGGCTTGACTTAAGGGTTACTTGTGACTTATTGTGAAATATATATGTATATATGTTTTGTGCCAATAAATATTCCAATACAATTTAATATTAAATATATCTGTGTAAATGTAGCTAATTGATTCCCACCTCTTCTAGAACCCTCTAATTAAGGTTGCTGCCATTTGATTTATTATTTATGTCAACGAGAAACTGAGCAAGCACAGCAAATAAAGTGGTGAGAAAGTTTGCTGAAAAACTGGGTGATTAAAAGTGGACTGCTTAAATTATTATAATACACCTAATTGAAAATACTTTTCAAAGGTTTAAGATTTATCTCTGCAATCAGGCCTTTAATTACAAAGGGCTAGATATGTTTCAAATGGGAATTTGTAAACGATGGTAGTGGAATAAGAAAAGCAGCAAACAACTAAACCACAGTTTTTTTTAATGCCATGCTCGACCATTTAATGCTCTGTATATTCAGAGCAGATGTGTGTGAGACTTATGTAAGATACACAGTCCGATTCACCATTTCATTTGCCTTTGATAATGCACATCTGGGTGTTACCCTTGATGCTGTTAGCTGGCATGTCATGCTGGGTTTATGGGGAGATTCCTACTTAGTAGATGACATCCATCATGGAGAAATTTGGTGGAATTTGTTTATGTTTGTGTGTCTCTCATTGCAACCCATTGGTCACATGAAGACTTATCTCCATGGGTTTATAGTTCTCTATCCCATGGTTTTGTTTTTCAGCATGGATTTTTATACAAAATGGTTAAATCTGTTTTACATCCATTGTTTGACGTTCTGCATATTGAAATGATAAATTTAGAAATGGGCAATCAGAGTCCATTTGCAGGGCTATTTGCTGTTTGAAATCCAGTTTGTTTAGTTCATCATGTATTTTAGGATATCTTACACAAGGTTTCATGAATAGGATGATCCTAAAACTTTGTTACTCAGTATACAATGCAAGAACTGGAAGGACACACAGAAAGATTTATTACCCATCGTATTGCCATCAGATTTACAACTGACTCATAGGATAAAGGGAGACTCGATAGCTGTAAGAGCCATTTGTAGTTTGGTGTTTCATTTGGTTTGATCTGGGTGGCAATATTTTCACCTATATTTCACTTAACCTCTGGTGGCGGTGTGGGGGTGAAAGCTATGTAGATGCAGAGGTGACAGAGCAAAAGGTTTTGGCTGATTGTTTATCATATGGGTTTGACTTGCAGCTACACATTGGTTAACCTCTGTCTTATCTTACTGTAATTTGTCAACCATCCAGCCTGCTCATATCGCATCTTTAGATTTTCGACCGTCATTCATTTTCCGTTTATATTCAATAACTGGGAGAAACCCCAAAGCTACCTCTCAGTCTCGACAAAGTTTCTCTGAGTGCATTAGAATCTGGATAAGCCACACTCAAAAGTGATTAAAATGTAATGACTTGATAGTCGCTACAGTAGTTATTAAGATCTTTGTCTAGCATAAAACCTTACACGTTTCAATAAGGCATAATTAACCATTGTTAAGGTAACTCATTCACCCAGACATCAGAGCCTTTGGGGATTATCATTGAGCTTTAGCTTTCAATTTGTCATTTCTGTTCTTTGTCATTTGAATTGATAGAAATGTTTCCTGAATTCGTTTAATCTCAGTCTTTTTTATAGCTTTATCTACATTTGTGCTGCTTAATTTCACATTCTCCTTTGATTTAATCTTTTTCCTCTCTTTTTCCTCAGGTCAAGACCCAGTGATTGAAACCCAAAAAGAAGACAGAAGAAGAGAGAGAAAGGCCATGGGGATTTATAAAGGGAAAAATGTATGTTGGCACCAGCCTTTCTTCTTCTTGCTGCTGATGATCACAGTGTCACCCACCCAAAGTCAAGGATGTCCTCAGCGTTGCGATTGCATTACCAAGCTGAAGACTGTGTCCTGTTTTGCTAAACGCCTTTCCTCCCTGCCTGAGGGAATCCCACCAGACACCAAAGTCTTGGACCTAAGTGGGAATAAACTACGCTGGATAGAACAAGATGATCTTCTTCCATATTCACGCCTGGAAAAATTAGAACTTAGTGATAATATGATCAGCGTCCTGGAGCCAAATGCATTTTCAAGTCTTCAGAACTTGCAGACACTTTCTCTAAGGGGTAACCAGTTAAAACTGGTTCCAATGGGTGCTTTCTCACGTCTCTCCAACCTCACCTCATTGGATTTAAGTGGAAATAAGATTGTAATTCTTTTGGACTACACTTTTCAGGACCTAAAAAGTCTGAAGAATCTGGAAGTTGGTGACAATGACTTGGTTTACATATCTAACAAAGCTTTTCTTGGTTTGGTAGGACTCAGGGAACTGACAATTGAAAGATGCAACCTGACATCAGTGTCCAGTCAATCATTATCTTATCTACATAATCTAGTAACTCTGAGGCTCCGATATCTTAGCATATCCTCCTTAGACGACCAGAATTTTCGAAAACTTGGAAATCTTAGGGGTCTGGAGATTGATCACTGGCCATTTTTGGAATACATATCCCCTCATAGCCTACAGGGTCTTAATTTGTCTTGGCTGTCCATCACCCACACCAACATCACCTCTGTACCAACATCTGCACTTCGTAGTCTGGCTCACCTCACCATCCTCAATCTTTCTTACAACCCAATAACTGTGTTGGAGTCTTGGGGCCTGCGAGACCTCATCAGGCTGAAGGAGCTGCATCTAGTCAACACTAACCTGGCAGTAGTGCAGCCCTATGCGCTTGGGGGTCTGAGGCAAATACGGCTTCTGAATCTTTCAAGCAACAGGTTGGTAACCCTAGAGGAGGGAGCCTTTCAGTCTGTCAACACTTTGGAGACGCTTCGTTTGGACAGAAACCCTCTTGCATGCGATTGTCGTCTGCTCTGGATCCTTCAACGTAGGAAGACCCTCAATTTTGATGGTGCCTCCCCTGTGTGTATAGCCCCTGTTGAAGTCCAAGGACAGGCTCTGAGTGCTTTCACTGACTCAGCTCTATTTGACCACTTTACCTGTCAGAAGCCTAAAATCCGCAACAGGAAACTGCAGCAGATATCTGCACGTGAAGGGCAAGTCGTTTCATTTATCTGCAGAGCAGAAGGTGAACCCACACCAATTATATACTGGATTACTCCTCAGCGTCGGCGCATAACTACAAAAAGTAGTGGACGCTTGACTGTATTACCGGAGGGCACCCTGGAAATACGTTATGCCCAGGTAACAGATAGTGGAACCTACATTTGTATAGCTAGCAATGCTGGTGGAAATGACACCTACTTTGCTACACTTACAGTAAGTGGACTGCCGCTGGATGCAGCACTCATGGCTAACCGCACATATTATGCGGGGGACCTTAATGACACAAATTTGAATGACACCAAGGTGTTCTTGAAGTTCACCCTTGACCTTAAAACCATTCTTATATCTACAGCTATGGGCTGTATCATGTTTCTGGGAGTGGTCCTGTTCTGCTTCATTTTGCTTTTTGTGTGGAGTCGGGGGAGAGGACAGCACAAGAACAACTTCTCTGTTGAGTATTCTTTCAGAAAAGTTGACGGACCTGCAGCCAGTGGAGGCCAGGGGGGTGCACGCAAGTTCAACATGAAAATGATTTGACTCTGCAAAACTCTTGGTGTCTTCTATTTGTTCATTTATAAACTAAGATGAAAAGTAACAGGACAAATGTGGAAAAACGTAAAAAATTGATCATCCTATGGACAATTTATTAGATGTTTTTTTTAACTGTTGTATGCATGCAAAATTTCAAACTACAGTATGATGCTTTGATACATTTCTACAGCTATTTGTTTTGTTCATATAATTGTAAATATTAGTTCAATTCAAATGAAATAGGTCTCAAAACTTTAATGAGACTGTTAAAAACCAAACCACTTAAGCACTCTACATTCTTCCAGTATTAAACCTTCACAAAAGTCATGCTGATGCGTTCTTTCCTGAAATGATGTCATCCTCACCTTTGACCTCCAACCCTCTGCTCCATTTGAGGTGACTCAAGAACACCCTGCTGATGAAGACACAACTACAAGGTGGTGCTTAGTAATTGCCAAGGACTATAACTATTTAATGCAAATTTAAACCTGTATAAGATGCAGGCATTTCACAATGGATTATCCAATGGATTTTTTTGAAAATAGACCAACTTAGTACCAGTCTCTGGAACACTGCCACTTTCACTACAGAGCACATTGTGCCGAGCTGGACAGATTTATTTAAACCCTGGATAAAGTACTGTAAAAAATAAAAAATAAAATAAATAATAATAATATTTGCTTTAGTTGCAAAAGTTGGGTCTCACATTAGATTTGTTGTAAAAAATGGAACCTTTGAGTTATTTATTTAGCTATGGTACTTCTAATATCCCTTGAAAAACAAGAAAAACTAAAATCTTTAAACAAACTAATACCTTATTACCTTATAGCTTATGTATTCAAAGACAGAGACCCAGTTCTGTTAGCTACTGGCCTACAGTGTGCACAAAGCCTCATATTTATGTCTTTATGCCAGACAAACCTGTGGGTTAAGATGAGTTTAGTATTGAGATTTTAGGACAAAGAAACCCCACCTCAGATGGGTTTGGTATAAAACGCACAATAAATTGTGGAAATGTACCTCATTGAAGTGATGTATACTCTGTTATAGTGGTGGCCTGCTTCTCTTCCAAAAAGCCTGGGAACCATATTAGAGTTGATATTGTCATTACACTGTCATGGTTACAGAGCAAAATTAACTCTCTACTTTTAATCCATCCCCTTGGGGAGCTGTGGGCTGCCATTGTGTGGCTCCCGGGGAGCATTGTGGGCGTTAAGGGTCTTTGCTCAGAGACCTAGAGTGGCAGTCTGTGGGAGTGGGGCTCGAGCTCAGAACCTTAGAATTCCAAGCTCTATGCCTTAACCACTAGGTCACCACTCCCATCAGAGTCTCCTGTCCAGCATCAAGAACTCTAGGAAATACCAGGAATTTCAGAGTCTTTAATAGGATACTAATCTGAACCATATGCTTAGATCGACTTAGCAATGATTTGCTAATAGCGCTGAAACAATTAATCAATTATTTTAATAACCGTCAACTAATTAGTAAATAATTAACTGTTAACTAGAGTATAGAGACTCTGAAACATGTCTTTAGCTGACAGAGCAACCCAATTAGCAGTAATTATACCAAAATTTTTTTTTTTTAAATGTATAAACATGTTGCATTTAGGATAAGAAAACTTTCTCTTCTTTCTCTAACCAGAACTCCTCAAGTGAAAAAAATTTAGTTTTACCTGGTTTAATGTTGTAAAAAGTCTTCTTTAAGGAATGTTTTGCTGTTGGATAATTAATTGAAAAAATAATCAACAGATTTATTAATTTGCAAAACAATTGTTAGTTGCAGCCCTCCTTGCTATGCACAAAATCTACCCTTCATGTTAATCCCAGTCCTTGGAAGTAAATCCTAGAAAACCTGTGAAGGTAACAAAAGGGAGGCCAGCATATTAAAGAAAACAGGACTCAGAGGGCTCTAACCTTGTAAAATGTTACAGGAAAGACCATGCGCTCTCCCTATGACAAAAATTGAGGGCCCAAAGTCCTGATAGGAGGGTAACCAGCTGTTTTGAAATCAAGGTTTCTGTGGGAATCACTTAATAAATGTGCTGAAATTTCCAGTTGAGGAATAGACTATTACAAGAAAATATAGCTGATCTAATGGTTTATTCTTATCCATGGTTGCCAACAAACTTTTCAGCCACTGTAATAGCTCTATGGAAGCGAAAACTCACTTCTACCTGTATAAGTTAAAGCTGTTAAAACATTGCAGTCAATATACAGTATAAGCTATAATGGGACCCAAGAGAACATCTGTGTGCTGACAAATTACGAGGACTCATTGCTAGTTATGTCTTTCATGTTGTCTTTTTTGGTAAATATGTGCAAGGATCTTATCCTCTTTCTATGAAAAAATAAAATAAAAGTGAATTCGTGTACATACCTTGCTTCTTAGGTTGAAGAATTTGTATTTATAAAAAGAACAGCCTTTGGTGTGTATTGATTACCAAAGTTGTATGGACAAATGTGAAGTATAGAAGATGTATCATATATTTTGTAATAGCTGATTTTAACTGATTATTAATCTGATTTTACTGTGCTACTGTTTTTAACCTGCTAAAGCATCCCTCTGCAATCAGTGAACTTCAGTGCAACTGTAAACACAACTGTAAATATACAGCCATCATGTAAATGTTGCTGCTTGTTGCCGTTAACCAATCATAAAGGACATTCACTGTGCAGGAGGTTTCAGTTCAGTTGCCTATTTTTAGCTTTGTAAGTGTCAAGGTGAGGAGCTTTGACTGAGCCAAGGGTGAGGAACCTTTGTAAACATGTAGAGAAACTGCTAATGTAAAACTGAGCTGGGTTTATTTATACATAAAAGGCTGTAACTCAGGGGCATTAGACCCCTAAGTATGGACATATGAATGGTAGATGTATGAGGTGTGACAATGGGACATGGGACCACTTTAATATGCATCATTATGATCTAAATTAGGACCTAACTTTGCAGATGATAACCCTGCAAGACTGCAATACTCTAAAATTGTCCAGCTATTTTACACAATTACAATATCCAATATTGTTGCTCTGCTGCCCTCTGTTGACGTAAAACAGTTATTGAGTTTTGCATCAACAACCTGTAGACTACCCCATTTTCTCATAATGGAAACATTTAAAATTTGGAGATGACTGACCTGAATCTAGGGCTGCAGAAAATGTAAGTTTATTTTTGCACTTATACCCTGTTTCTAAGTTTAAAACTAAACATTAAACATTTCTAGTTCTCTACCAGATATATCATGCTTTAGCAATTTCCTTATCCTTAAAAATGATCCAGTGTATCTATAACATAGTTCTATCGACATTTTATAGAAAAAAAATTAACCACAATATTTTTAAGAAAAATGGGTTATTTTCATATAAAATTCCCATGTACAATTGTTGTTTTATTATGTGTTACAATGCCATTATGTGGTTTCATTATTTTTTAATCTGATGTACATTTGATTACAGAGTCAATATTAAACCTGTGACATTTATTCTCAAGGTTGATCTTGTAAATAGATGACATTACTTTTAAGAAATACCAGAATATTAGAATTAAAATCTCTTAAAAATTAGAAATCAGGTTCCACCATTCAGCTGAAAATGTTTTATCACTGACTCTTTTCAACTGGGTGATCACCCGAAAAAAAAAAAAAAAAAAAGATTATTTAAAGATTGTGCAAACAGGAATTGTCCGAGGTACCTTTCACACATTTATAGCCAAAAGACAATAAACTACTGCAAATGTAAAAAAAAAAATCACACTATCATGTTACATGATAGTGTTTGAAGCAAATGAGGAAAGCAGCCCCATTAAGCCTCAATGGTAAACAATAGAAGATTTTCTACTTTGAATTTTTATTCTTGTGTTTTTTTAATCTGTACAAGAGTTTTACCCTTTTGATTTAGACATCTGTAAATGCATGTCCAGACTGTGCTTCTTACTTTGAAAATTTTTGGATTGATTAATTTACCACCAGCCAGTCAGAATTGAATTGTATTGAAAGAATAGACTTGTGAAAGAAGTCATACATATTTTGTCGTTTCAGAAAGTACAGAAATCAATAAAAGCTTAAGAGCAGATACAGTATAAGCATTCACTTCATTGAATTGTTTGTATATAACTGCCTCTCCAGACATAGACATAAAGAAACCTGAACTAATCTAAAAATAAACAAACAAAAAAATGTCAAATGCAAAAATACACTGCAAAAAATATAAATCTCAATAAGTTATTTTTTCTTAAAATAAGTGTGTTTTTCCTTGATTTGAGGAGATAAGTAAGACACTTTGCCAATGGAACAAGACAATTTCCTTTTAAAATAAGAAAAAACTATTTTATCGTCTTATTTCAAGTAAATATTATCTAACTATCTTATTTTAAGAGTGAAAATACTCATTCCATTGGCAAATCATCTTATTTACCTGCTCAAATTAAGGCTAAATATACTTAATTTAAGCCATTTTTTACTTATTTCTGGATTGTTTTTGCAGTGTAATCAATTTTTAAATTTCGAGATTTCTCCTTATTTGAGTAGAATGTGGAAAAAAGGTAAAACGCTCTCAAAGAATTTGCTTCCTGATGAAAAATTCTTTGCCTGATGAGGTGCCTCCATTTTTGGTGCCACCAGGGAGGAGGAGAACCTGTAAGATCTTTGAATTCCCAAGACTGGTAAGTGATTTACCTCATCATGCTCCTGTAACATCACTACTATTATGGAAAAATTCCAGGTAGTTACACACATTTAAAGTTACTGCTGTTTTTTGTGTGTGTGTGTGTGTGTGTGTGTGTGTGTGTGTGTGTGTGTGTGTGTGTGTGTGTGTGTGTGTGTGTGTGTGTGTGTGTGTGTGTGTGTGTGTGTGACACATGGTTAAAATGTACTTACCGGTGTGCATATTTTTACATATGTTAGTAGTTGGGCTACCATCCCTGGAAAAAACATAGGCTTTTTGTAGCCCTAAACACGCTTCTGCCATAGTCTTAGTTGGATTTTTGTCAACTCTCATCTAGTCAATCCTTTCTAAAGATCCAATTTGATTTATGTTGGGCATTGTTGCCCTTTCAAAACACTTTATCCAATTGTTAATTATGAAGTTGTTAAAAGAGATCAAAATAAACATTTCTAAGTAATCCTAAATTCTGAACACTTGGTGTGAAGCTACTGCCATGTTTGACAGCTGTTTTTGTGTTGTTTGGTTTGAAAGCCATACATCTACTTGTCTAAGGCAACGATGTGTTTCACATGGGCTAATGGTGTGAGAAACCTTTGACAATTAAGCTATCTTAAGAAGGTCTGGCTATTTAAATTGGAAATCACTGTTTTTTAACATGAAGCTAAGGCGGAAATTCAACTGAAGAAACTATGATTACTTCCATTCAATCTGAGGCTGATCCGCCTCCAACGCAGCCAACCCGCTTCAAGCCACTTTCCTTGATGCCCAATCATCTTCCAGCACCCTACTTAAAGCCACTCCAAATCATCTCTAGGCCTGCTCTTCAACAAGCGCAAGATCCATCGCTCCTATGTCGGACTTTGATTCAGACAACCCACCTCCATCCCCTTCTCCACCATTGTAGTAAGCTCATCCGACTCCTCCTCGATGCTCCTTCAACCTCACCTCCAGTGTGTACTCCCTCCAGACTTTCATGGAGTTCCCTGTCACTTTAAACGGTCCGGCAGAAGACCGCCATGTTGAGCCTGGTTCTGCCAGAGATTTCTTCCCAAAGGGGAGTTTTTTCTCTCCACAGTCGCTTCATGCTTGCTCTTCATGGACAGTTTATGCAAACTTTGTTCATTCAGTGACATCTAACTCAAGCATCACCCTGTACACCAGCCTCTATGGATTAACCAAACTTCATCTATCTAAACTCCACCACCAGTTTCAGGCCCGGGGGGAATATCCTTATTCTCATACATCAGTTTATCTGCATTAAAGTATAAATCAGCGTTTATGTTTCCTGCCGAGGCCTGAGCGCCAAAGTTCAAACTATTGTACCAATAAACTCTTCTAATTGCATCTTTCTCTCTCTGTGAGTTTTTCAGATTGAAATAGTTTAATTAAGATTTTAGATCTCCCCTTTAATTTCTGTAGTTTTTTAGACATAACTCAAAATTTTTAGTATTAGTAATAGTCATATTGAGTTTCCATTCTGTCAAACAATTTATTAAGGTACACCGGTGTTTTTGTGTCCTAATGTATGGCACCTTCCTGTACATTTCTGCTTTTATGTATAATTTAGAGCCCATGTGATATCTCGAAAAACTGGAAACACATTTGCATGTATGCATCCAGTTCATATGTAGGAAAATCAGTGAACATGTATTTTAATCAAGCCTAGGCAGAAGTTAAACTGAAGAAACTAAATTACTCATCTGCCTCCAACGCTAGCCAATCAGCTTTGAACCGCACCTCAACGAAGCCCAATCAGCACCCAGAGTTCATCTTTAAAGGTCTTCAAATCCACGACTCAGCCTGCTACCCAGCCAAAGCGCAAGCAGTGGTTGCGCATGGCTGATTTTGACTCAGATGACCCCGATTCAACCCACCTCCATCCCCTTTTCCACAATCTTAGCTAAGCCCCATCTGGTTTTTCCATGGTGCTTCTTCAACCTCGTCCCTATCAGAGTGAAAATCCTCCTGGAA